GATTTTGGGTATTTGAAGAACTAATTAAATGAATAATTTTTATTAACACGGAGGAGATGGATTGCTTAAGTTTAGAGTTTGGAGTTAGAGATATTAATATTTGTTTACTTGTAGTTGAATGTTAGCCTAGGTTTGGTTTGGGAAGTCTGGGGGGTAGGGGGATGGGATAAATCATTGTGTAATACTTGTGATGTATTTTCTTGTTTATGATAAAAACAATAAAATTCTATATTGAAAAAAAAAAAAAAAAGAGGTGGCCTAAGCAGCTTCCACCAATATTTTTGCTAATGTGATAAGCCAGTAAATGTTTTCTAGTGAACCAAAGCCAAACCTTCTATAAGAAAAGATCTGAGGCTTCTTTTTGGACACTCGCAAGCACAAAGAACTGTATCTGTGATTGCTATCATCTCAGCCTCTTGCAAATAAGCTGGCTGTGGTCAACCACAGAGGAAATATTGATGCTATAAGAGTCCCAGAATTCAATGGTACACAATCTTCAGCAATGCTTAGAGGAGAGGGGTGAAGGGGAAAGGAAACTGTTGAGTTCTACAATTATAGAAATTTCAACATTTTGAAAAGCTCAAGAAAACAAGCTCTTTGCTTGAAACTAAGAAGTATGAAATGAAATCAGAACAAAATTAAGGGTAGTTTTCACCAGTTTAAAGGAAGTAGCTGCAGAAATGTTGGAATGTAAAACCACCCCACCCATTTGTCTCTCTTGATTAAGATCTTCCATATCTCCTATAAACTTCCTAACCATCAAAGATCAGTGATTGTTAGGCCCCAAACCAAATATGACACATGGCAATTTTTACAAGCTTATTTCACATCTATAGACAAAATCTTGCTAGACTGAGCAAGATTCTACTCTATCTCTGCATGTACAGTATACTCTGTGAACTGTTTTGGAGGAGCTGTCTTCACCTTCTTTCTCTCACACATACTGTAATATGGGCCAAGTTGTCTCTTACTCTTCTAGAATGCACACACCCCGCCATCTATCTCCTCACTACATTCCATCACAGTTGCCTTTACTTAATGGTCAGACCTCTATCCTATTCCTACAGAAGCCTCTTCACTTAAAATTGTAATATAAAGGCCAAGGGCAGACAAAGACAGCTTACCTTGACTTGGTTGAAGCCAATGATGACTGCAGCAGCTGAAGTAAATCCTTTAATGACAGGATACGAGATAAAGTCCAAAATGAAACCTGCCAGGAATGAAAAGAAAATCCACTAAGTCTTTTATATCACCCTGGGAGTCAGACCAGCTGGATTTCTTAATCTATTCCTCAGATATTTGCCCATCATGTCCTCTTCTCTTTCCTTTGTAGGATCTCTAGCCTTCCCTTTCTAAAGCAGAAAAGTATCCGGGCAACTAATTAGATCAGGGGTCTTCAAACTTGGCCCTTTTATGACTTGTGGACTTCAACTTATGACTTGTGGACTTCAGGCTGAGGAATTCTGGGAGTTGAAGTCCACAAGTCATAAAAGGGCCAAGTTTGAAGACCCCTGAACTAGATAAAGCTGGGGACTAGAGAGGAAGAGATTACATTCCAGCTACTTAAAATAAGAACATACTGTACATAAAGTCCTATTTTAGATAGAAAACTGTCTATTTAGCTGTAAATTCAGAACAAAATTAGGAAGAAGAAAATAATCTGAATGCATAATCTGTGGAATTCATCCCATTTAAGCATTGCCATCCCAAAGTACTTTAAATAGAATACATCCCGCATTTAAATGAAACATGTGTGTATCTCTCTTCATAATTACACATGGACATCCCAGTTCAAAAAATATATAGGCAGACAGTATCAGAATCTACCAGAAGGTGAGGAACAGTTTATAAATCACTTTAATAAGAAAGAGTTTGAATGAGTCTGTAATCCTGTACTCACTTATCTGACAGATACCCAAATGAACTCAATGAGATGTACTTTTGCACAGATATTTGGAAAAAATGTCCTGCGATTTATAGAAAGTTGAAGATATAAAAACAGGGGGAAATTAATTTCTACTTTTTGTCAGATTTGATTCCCAATTATCTTCTTTGGCCAACAATAGCAATAGGGCAGTGGACTTAGAAGACCAACATAAAAGCCACCATGTCTTACCAAGATGGAGGAGCCCCATAGCTAACTGGATGCAACCTGAAAGAAAGGCGAGGAGAACGGCCAAGGCAGGCTCATGGAATGCGTAGGAAGACACCAACAGGGACATGATGGCTGTTGGCCCAAGCGTTACATCTTTGGAGGTCCCCAAAAGGCAGTAGATGAAACAACCCATGAAGGAAGAATACAGACCATACTGCAAAGGACGGGAAGGCAACATCAGAGACTAGTCATAGTACTTGAAGAACTGTAAGCCAATAAAACCACAAAGGTTATGAAAGGCCTACAAAATACAAATTGCATTCTATGGAAAATTTGGTAAAATATTTTAAAAAGGAGAACAGGTAGTTTTTGCTTAGCAACTACCTTATTTAGGGAACAGTCACAATTAAAAAGGTAATGAAAAAAATAACTTTTATGACAAATCTACACTTAGCAACCAATTTATAAAATGAACTCTGAAAACAAATATCTGCCAGAGGATAACTAGGGCAAGCAATCTTTTTAGGCTGGTAGATACACTAGGGCTTGGCTGTGAGAAAAAGTCATTAACTCAAAATGACTTCCCATAGAATGTGGGCATCCATAAAATGGCTGCCACAATGGGCATGGCCAGATACAAAATACTCATTTATCAGAAGGAAAACTATAGACATTGCTCCGTTTATACTTCTAGAAATCTACTCTATTACTCCTGCTTATGTTTGTCTTTTTCTTCCTGAGTAAGCATTGTCTTTCCAAACAAAGAACTATACATATACAAGGGTACAAAGGCATTTTAGAAAATAAAGAAGCAGCATACCAGCTTCTCAATTAATTTGTTTAAATACAGGTAGTCTTTGATTTGCAACAGTTCATTTAGTTACCATTCAAAGTTACAATGGCTCTGAAAAAAAGTGACTTATGACCATTTTTCACACTTATGACTTTTGCAGCATCCCCGTGGTCATGTGATCAAAATTCAGATGCTTGGCAACTGACATGTATTTATGACGGTTGCAGTGTCCCAGGGTCATGTGGTCATCTTTTGTGACCTTCTGACAAGCAAGTCCATGGGAAAGCCAGATTCATTTAACAACCGTGTTACTAACTTAACATCTGCAGTGATTCACTTAAAAACTCTGGCAAGAAGGGCCGTCAAATGGGGCAAAACTCACTTAACAAATGTCTTCCTTCGCAACAGAAATTTTGGGCTCAATTGTGGTCACAAGTCGGGGATTACCTGTAATTCTTTTTTTTAAATATATATATATGGGATAGCCAAGCAGATGCCAATGGACAGCACATTGCCCACACCTGGAATAATATTTTGACTTGGTATACAGCAACTTTTCTATCACCTTTTGTCATGTTCCTGTTCCAGCCCACTTGCAATTTCTCAGTTGGCTAGGATAGGTTGGAAAACAAAAGCATATGGATGTAACACACATGGATTTCCTTTATCTCTCTGTAAAAGTGCTAAATAAGAACAGAAGCACAATACTCTTTTATAAATGAGATCATTATCTAATTATCAGCTCCCAGGCTAACACTTAAAACACAAAAGGTTGCCTGTAATAGCCATTCCCTCCAGCCACCAGCCCTTGCCCTCGGTGGCATCCAGTAAAGCAAAAATCAAATGGTATTGTCAGACCAAGAGTCCCTAATGTTTTAAAAAAAAGGAATTGAATTTGAACTCAGTTTCTATCCTTTTCCTCTTCACTCTCCAATTAGATGAGGCACCTTTTACGCAACAAGGCTAATGTGAATATTGACTGAGGAGATGTACTTTGAAGTTGTACAAATACAGCATTATGTTAAGTATAGCCACTCCTGCATGAACAACCTCACCTCCATGGGGAGACCAGCCACCACAGCATAAGCAAGAGCTTGTGGCACCACAGTCATCCCCACAGTCAGCCCGGCCATAAAATCCAGCTGTAGCCACTGCAGAGAATACTTGGGAAGCCAAGTTAGCACCGGCAATCTCTTTGCAGTTGCTCTGCAACATTGCTTCCAACTCTCCCGGCTTCCTTCTGACATGGCTGGACTCTGTGTGGTTCGGACTGATTCACTTGGGATCCACCATCTCAACCATCATCAAAGCACTATCAGGCAAGGTCACAGAGGCAGGCAAACACAGCTGTCATAGCAAATGGTTTTGCTGGAGTTGATCACAAACTGGCAGTATAAGTTCAAAGGTATTCCTGGAAAAGGAATAGGATAGCAATTAAGCAACACTATCCATTCTCCATTTTGTATAGGAACAGAGGATCCCGTTTTAGAATAATATTGTCCCGCCCTTAACAGTAAACAATGGCCACATCATCTAATTTCCATAAAGGACATGGACCTAAGCATATTTTGTATTTAAATATTTGCGACCCAATTGTTGGTGTTGGTGTTCTACTCCTGAACTTGGTAGAGCTGGCATGAGAACCCGGACAAGGATCGCTCAAATCAGGCAACCGACTTAAAATTAGGAGATCAAAAGTAATTTAGGAGACTTCCGAGTGGAGGAGCAAGACGAGGCAGGGAAGAAGGAATTAGTCATGAAGACCAGAGAAAACTTACATTAGTAGGTCCTATATCGCGACGAAAGATGATTGTGGAATATTACCAGACACCATCCGATCAACTCTATAAAGATACTGAGCGGCCCCTTCCGGAGGGCGTTTGCATGGCTCTAATTCCTCAATTCAGGCGCATCGACCGGCAAACTAAATCCAAATTAACCCCAGATTCCAAGCGGTCGACTCCCCACTCCTCTCGGCTCACGTGATCCGGGCTGGACGTGGAAGAGGAGGCGGAGCTGAGCAGTGATTAGCTCCTTCCTAGTTTCCAGCTGCGCTGAATGCAAGGATTGCTCGGTTCGGGGACCGTTTGCCGGGCGCAGGCCCGGGCGATGCGAGTTTGCCATGCAGTCTCCCGTACAGAGCTGCGTGGTGGCGCTCCTCGTTCTGGGGCTCTGTAACGCTAGAAAGGGGGACCCCAACAGGTCCCGCAATGTCCTGCTGATTGTAGGTGAGCAAACCAATCCTGGGGGAGGACGTTAGACCCTCTTGCGTTGGAATCCCTTGCGCGATATACTTGCCCACGATTGGCTTTCGTTGGGAGTTGCTTTAAGAAGGTGGGGGATCATCTGGCAAACTGTGAGTGGTTCTGAAGCAAGTTAAAAGTCGGGCTTGGGAAATATTTGGATGGAAGGCAATCGGGAAATCCCAGAGCTATAGGGAAGTCGAAAAAGGAGAAGGGGGCAAAACATTCTGGTTTTGTTGCTGTGACAGCTTCCTGATTGCGTTGATGAGATAAACTCAACTGAATAGAGAACCTCTGCCTTTTTAGGAGATGGGAGGGCCAGTGTTCCCCTATGTGTTCTACAGGAGAGTAATATCAAGTATTCTGGGTCACAGTCACCCCTCTGTTCCCCCACCCCCCTTGGTTTGGGTTGGCAGGAAGAGAAGTTCCAAATATGGACTCTATTTCCCACGTATTCTCCAGATTGAGCTTCCTGCAGTTGGTAGATTTCTGTAGGACAGACAAACATTCAACAGATGCAGACTGTTGTAGTGGGAAATCTGTTACAAATTTGCCAAAAGGAAAAAGGCTTGTATAGAAACCCTAAAGGACATAATAATGGGCACTGAGCAATTTGGCTATGGTGCCAGGTCTCAGTTTTTGCTTGTGAAAGAATGAAGATACCAATATTATTGAAATGTAAGAAATATAATAATACAAATATTATTGAAATATAAGAGCTGGACATGCCATTTTTGTGAGATGACTGGTGAATTTCCCTTTGTCCACATATTTTTGTAGTTCGTGTTGTGTGCATTTAGCTAAATTAGTGGAACCTGTGTTTATGAAACCATAAAATAGCTCAGAATCCACAGTTCTCCCTTTTCAGCTATAACTGCAGGCTTCCTGGACTGCAGTGTGATATAGGATTCTTGTTCCTTTTTTGCTCATGCTGAGTTTTTTTACACCGATCGGTTATATCCTATTTTCACCAATTTACACTCTTCCCCCCGCCCTTCCCAAAATGGATTAGGGTTAAGGTTTTCAATCATTGGTTGCAGTTACCCCTCAAATTTATGTATTCACACTAGAATCACAAAGATATTGCACCAATCATGTCCATGGTGGAAAAAAGCTTTTTAAACATCAGATGTTAGCATTAATGGTGAACAAAAAAGGTCTGACTTCAATATAGCATTTGCTGGATAAATGTGTCATGGAATACAACACTTTGGAATTTCACAAGCTGAAATCTCTTTAAGTCTCTGTTACAAAACTAAACTCTGCCCCAGCTAAGAGAACAGTTTTACACAATCCAGCCACCTCCAGATGTTTTCCAGGCACAAATATAATAGATTTATGGGTGACTATCCCAGAAGATTGTAGCAAATGTTCACAGGGAACAGGATTAGAATACAGATCACTTGACTTATGCTCTCCCTTTTCCGTGGCAGCGGACGATGGTGGTTTTGAGAGCGGTGTGTATAACAACACAGTCATAAAGACTCCAAACCTGGATGGTTTGGCCCAGCGGAGCTTGATCTTCCAGAATGCCTTCACTTCTGTCAGCAGCTGCTCCCCCAGTCGGGCCAGCCTCTTGACGGGCCTGCCTCAGGTAACATGCCCAGATGGGAACAGAAAGCAAGCCATGCTACAGCATGGTCCTGTCCTTTTCTTTGATTGCCACCAAACTGGGGGTGCCCTATTATTGCAAATGATTTCTGTCTAACCACAGCACCAGAATGGGATGTACGGATTGCACCAAGATGTGCACCACTTCAACTCCTTTGATAGTGTCCGGAGCCTCCCCTTATTGCTTAACCAGGCTGGGATACGGACAGGTAAGTAGAGGAAAGCAAAGTTCCTCCTTTCACTTCCTCAGTTCAGCTGGAACTCTTTTCTGTTTTGGACTTGGATGAGACAGCCTGCAAGTTTAAGAAAGACATTTGGTCTCTCTGCTTTGCAGCCCATTAAGAAAATGCTAGCAATGATAAATGTTATTTTAAAAAGAGATGTATGGTAATGCTGAGGCAGGTGGTTGTTGCTGTTGAAAGCAGAATGGACATTTTACTTAACTGCTCAATCAAAATCCAAAGAACATTACAGTTCTCTTAATTTAATGGTTTATTGCCATTTATTTATTTTTGTCAGTGCTGATAAGGCCACTAGAAAAGGGTTGTCTTATGGATTGCCTCCCTCAGTGATGCTTTTGTCTCATTTAGTCCAACTCCAACACAGAGAAAAATATTTCTGAGAGCCAATTTGGTCTAGTAGTTAAGGCTAGAAACCAGGAGACCATGAGTTCAAATCTCACCTTAGTCATGAAAGTCAATTGAGTGACTTTGGGCCAGTCATTTTAGCTCAGCCCAACCCAGCTCACAGGGTTGTTGTTGTGGGGAAAATAATAGGAGGAAGGAATATTACCAGTAGGTATATTTGTCGCCTTGAACTATTTGTAAAAATAATAAAGATGGGATACAAATAAATACATTTCATAGCACATTATAAATTGCACCCTTTTACTTTCTGAAGCTACATACCCATCATTCTGTTAAGCTTTATGAATGAACGTATGTAGCATAGAATCCTTGCATCCCTCCTTGCCCCTGTAAATGCCAAGGTTATGTCTATTTTGTACATGTAATGTGGGCACTACCCTAACTGACAGGTTAATATTAATATCCTTTTTTTTTTTTGACTGACTCCAGCTCCTTGTCTCTTTCAGGAATTATTGGCAAGAAGCACGTTGGGCCAGAGGCTGTGTATCCATTTGACTTTGCCTACACTGAGGAAAACAGTTCTGTCCTGCAAGTGGGCAGAAACATCACCCGAATCAAAGTGCTTGTTCGGAAATTCCTCCAGACTGTGGATGAAAAGTAAGATCTGATATTGGAATGATCCAGATGCATCCCTTCCTTAAGCCCATGTGGAGCATCCAGGGCCAGGCCCTTTTGACCCATCTTTCACTCATGTTTGGCAGGCCCAGTAGAGATCCCAAGAGAATGTCTTGGGAAATTAAATGGTTCTGTGTACAGAGATAGGAGGATCAAATTCAAAGAGAAACCAAACTCGAAGGGGGGGGGATTATGGAGAAGACGAAAATGGAGCTTAACAAAGCTAGAGGCACCCAAAGTATTGCTTTAAATAGTGAAGAGGAAACACCGTTGGCCCATTATCAAGAGCCCTTAATTGTGTTTCTGCCCCCTTTTTCCAACCTGTAGGCCTTTTTTCCTTTATGTCGCTTTCCATGATCCCCATCGCTGTGGTCATTCCCAGCCGCAGTATGGAGCCTTCTGTGAGAAATTTGGCAATGGGGAGCCTGGAATGGGCTGGATCCCTGACTGGAAACCTGAGCTCTACCATCCAGATCAAGTGCAGGTGAGGCCTAGGATTTTCTTCTCCACCTGGGTTCCAGCAATACCTCCAAGTAGCAATGACCGGTCTCCTCCAGTACTTTTCATAACAATTCACCTTTGTTACCTGGAGGTCTTTCCTAGTGTAGCTTCTAGTTTCAGCTGTATCTCCTTTTGGCCTTCAGGTCCCTTATTTTGTACAAGACACCCCAGCTGCTCGTGAAGATTTGGCAGCTCAATATACAACTGTCGGGCGCATGGATCAAGGTAGATGATTACTGAACTAGGTAGTTCTGCCTACAGGAGTGGGACAAAAGACTTGGTACTTCTGAAAGGGAACAAAACCTTTAATTAATGATGGTCGGGTGCATTTTTGTATACTTGAGAGTCTGTCTGAGTTTGCTTTAAGCACATAAAGGCATAAAATATTAGTTCTGAGAGAGCAGATGACCATCTTTGTTTATTAAAAAGGAATACATCTCTTCTAGTTTTTAGAACCCTGTGCAATTCACTGGGTTGACGCTGTGAGGGGCTTCTAAGAACTGTTTCTAGCTCTTACATATAATGGCTTTGCTACTGCTATCTAGTAGCTTTTATTTGTATATTTTATACAACTCAAGGTAGCATACTTAATGCTCCCATTTCCTATGTTCCCCACAACACCAGCCCTGTGAGGTAAGTCGGGCTGAGAGAGAATGACTGGCCCAAAGTCACGTGGCCAACCTTCATGCCGGAGGGAAGACTAGGACTCGCGGTCTTCCAGTTTCTAGGCCTTCACCTTCACCACTGTACTGAACTGGTCTTGTGTCTTATGGCAATATGTTTTAGGGATAGGGAAGCAAAGCAACAGTAATCCATTCATCCTTAGCAAAATATGCATAATTTGGTTAACTGGGTGGAACTTAATGGGAGAGAGATGATCAATTAATACTGAATAATCTTTTAATACCTGCTGTGTGATGCCTGAAGAAAGAACCTGTACTTCTTCCTGAGGTTTGGATGATAATATTTATTGTATACTATTTCTGCAGGCCTTGGTCTTATCCTGGAGGAACTCCGCCATGCAGGGTTCCACAACAGCACTCTTGTGATCTATACATCAGACAACGGCATCCCCTTTCCCAGTGGCAGAACCAACCTGTACTGGCCAGGCACAGCTGAGCCCCTCCTGGTCTCATCTCCTGAGCATCCTTCACGTTGGGGCCAGGTCAGCAGTGCCTACGTCAGCCTCCTGGGTAAGAGCAGCTGAGAAATGAATTGGTGGATTTGTCCCATGGAGGAGACCAGGATGCGCTAAAGCGCATCGGGCTACTTAGCAAACTATAACACACTTTGCACTTTGCATTGGCCTTTTCTGAAGATCTTCCTCTTTGGAGAGAGGGGGAAATTATGGTTACAGTTGATGTGTCTGGCGGTTTTGTCTGTGTGGGTGTCCTTCTCTGCTCTCTTTCCCTAGTATATTTTCAGGAAAATATATGTTTTATGAACCCTTCCAAACAGTTCTGTTCTACAAAATTTATACTTATTTAATACTTATTTAAAGCACTGTCTCATATGCTGGCTTTCCACATATTCAACAAACTGGGGTTAAATGAGTCATGGCAAATGTGGGACCCCCCCACCTACTAAGTGATTGAATTCACATGAGGGTGGCAGAAGGCAGACTAGGTCATATTTCCCTTTTCTTGTTCCCTCATTCAAACAGCAAAAAAGAGAAAGTGGAAGAATGGGACGTCAGCATAGTGTAAGGGCTGCTTAGACCAGATACAACTGTTGTGTCAATCTCATGGATCAGCAAGGAACAGCCAAAAGTCTCCTGACTCAGAAAGGGAGGAAAAAGTGGCTTAAGATTTAAACCCTGGAGTTAAGAGAGAGAAATTTCTGTGGGCTGCTTAGTTATGACTTCTTTCTTGTCTGCATTAAAACAACCCATGTAACCATGTTGTATCAGAAAAGCTTCTGTTGTTGAATATATATGACATTTGACCTGTTGGTTCCTACTGTGAATAAAGACTTTACCATCTTTATCGAGCCTAAATTCTATTGAGTAGATGCATGTAGAAGGTATAGAACTGGGGCTAACGGGTTTCAATGTACTCTAGAAAATCTTTAGAAGAAACAGTTGGGTTTTTTTATATGACCCAGAAATATTGTGCCATACTAGGTCACACCTGCGGCCAAAGTTCCTTCCCGTCTCTTCCCTCTGAATCAGATGCAAGTTTTATGCTTCAGCTTTCCCTTCTCTCTCTGCAGATATCACTCCCACCATTCTGGACTGGTTCTCCGTGCCATATCCCAGTTACAGTCTGTTTGGGAAGCAGATAGTGCAACTCACCGGGAAGTCTCTGCTGTCAGCATTATCACTGGAGCCAAAATGGAGAACTGTGTTTGCCAGCCAAAGCCTGCATGAGGTCACCATGCACTATCCCATGCGAGCTGTGCAGCATGGCGCCCTGCATTTCATTCACAATCTACAGAACCGAACCTCCTTTCCCATTGATCAAGATTTCTACGTTTCACCTACATTCCAGGACCTGCTAAGCAGAACTCAGGCAGGGCAACCTACTCATTGGAATAAGACTTTGCGTAGCTACTATTATCGGGATCGCTGGGAACTGTATGATCACAGCACCGATCCTACGGAAAGCCACAATGTGGCTTCTGATCCCCGCTACGCACAGGCTCTTGAAGAGCTGCAGGGGCTGCTGTTGAAATGGCAGTGGGAGACCAGTGACCCCTGGGTATGTGCTCCTGATGGGGTCTTGGAGGATAAGCCTGTCCCCAAGTGTTGGCCACTCCATAATGAGCTGTGATTTTCTTTTTTGCCTCCCTGTTTTGGTGGCGGTTACTCATCATCAGTCTGCAACAAGAAAAGATCAAGCGGGTGCTGATGCAACCAATCCAATTTGCAGAATTAAATAACTACTGAAGTTGCACCCGAGAGAAGATTTGGAGTAAAATGCAAGGAAGTGTTTGCCTCCTATACAAAAATGAAGTTCTGCCATATTTTTTAACATTTGCTGCCATAAGAATGCCACAAGCATCTTCCAGATGGATGACCACACTTGTCATCCTTCCTTGTAAGAATGGCTAATGGTCACACACTGCGAATGTGATGGAAAGTTGTAGTCCAAATTAAAATAACTGGAGAATCCTGGTTTAAGAGATGACTTGATCACTACTATACGTATCCTCACCCAAATTGTGGTCCCACAAGAATATAGGTGGGCTGGTCCCATCTCAGTTGTTACACATAGAGCAGGGATAGAAACTGGCTAAGTTTAAAACCAGTTTAAAGAGTAGAAATGATTTAGATTCTGTAGCCTACACATTTCATCATCATTCTTCCACAGAATACTGAGATGACTAGAAACAGCTTTTGGTTTGCCTGCTGGGATGGTATAGATCTGCCAAGCAGTTGCTAGTTCTCCAGAATATGCATAATATGGCTAAAGCCTGCTTTTATAAAATAAAGAAATGAAAATTTGTTTCTAACTAGCTTTTTTGTTTGTGAATGGTTTTATTCCTTCATTAAAACAAGGGTGGGAAACCCATGGTCCATATCTGGCTTCAGTGGCCTGTTTTGCAACTTGTTGCAGAAACCCAGGATTCTTTCCTTTCTCATTGTTGCTACAGGCACACAGTTTGAGCTGTGAGTTTATTAGCAGCTGGTTTTAGAAGTCTGTGTGACTGATCATCTCAGCCATTCTTGTACCCCAAACACTGCACAAAGGGAATATTCGAAATTCTTCACTGAGGCTGCTGTAGTGATATCAACTTCTGCTAGATATTATGCATTTAAAATAACACATAGTTGGGCTCCATCCCATACTGCATGTATTATTTGCAACTCGTCCAAAAGAGTCAATTTGAAATGTACAAAGGACCTATGAAGCACTTTTTCAAGGCACTTAAAACAACTGGAGGTAGCCAAGAGCAGCTTCCGGAACAACTCTGTCAATATAGAAAAAGATACTACTGCTTAAGTTGTTTCAAAGGGTACTTCATATACACTCCCCTGTATTTAAAAGTATCTTCTGAAGGAGTTGACAACCCTAATGCACGTAAAGCAGTGTTTCTCAACCTTGACAATTTTAAGGCATGTGGACTTCAACTCCCAGAATTCCACAGCCAGCAATGCTGGCTGTGGAATTCTGGGAGTTGAAGTCCACATGCCTTAAAATTGTCAAGGTTGAGAAACACTGACGTAAAGGCTTGTTCCTTACAAACAGTTGTACTAAACTGGCAATTACCTGGAGGGTGAGGAGGGTATTTAACAATAAACACCTGAGTGGGCCTTCTGCAGTGCTATAATTCCCATTCAGGTGTTCTGGAGGGTTCTATGGTTGATGCCCATTTAGGAGGTGTTTGGTGTGCACACATAAGCATATGGATTGTCGATCCATCAAATAGTTTTTAATGAAACCTGCCAAGTGGAAAATGATGACCATCAGCAATAGTGCATTGTAGTAAGAACTCATTCCCTATGTTTCTTTGCATCTGCTTTTCAGTGGTTCCAAGAGGAAACGAAAAGCTTCCCAAGAACAGGCTTGGGAGCACAACATTCTTAAGAATTAAGCCTTGGGGGAACAAGGGCCAGAGAAGTCTGAGATACCAGTACAGTGAAGGAGAAAGCAGAAATACTGCATGTTTGAAATACTGCATAGCTTGGGAAGTATAAATTGCTCACAATTGCAAAAGAGAGGGAATGCTAACAGAGTAAGGGACTGGTAATCTGATTCCATCTTGTACTTGTCCATTCTTTAATTCATCTTATATCACTTATATCCTTCAGGATGATAAGGCAACATAAATCTCTTTCCTATTTCCATGTTATTCTTACAAAGCCCTGTTAGCCTAAGTGACAGTCACAAAATAAACTAGTGAACTAAATGTCAAATGAGAATTGGACCCTGATCTAATACTAATTCTGCTAACTACTGCAAATCTCTGTATGATAAGTCAAGGAATAAGGCAAACCTAATTAAATTTTTAGAGTTTCAATGTAGCAGAAGCATGGTCAAAGTTCTTTTACTACAATTTCAGATTTTAATAGACTAATGCAATGCAGGGAATGTTAACTTGCCAAAAAACATTCTCAGTTTGCTACCGGTAGTTAATGGGTTTGATAACTTCTTAAAAACAATGCAATGGTATTCTTCTATCCTGTGAGAAATTCTTACATAATGAAATGCATCCATTATTTTCATGCTCAACATTCAATATACTGCACGCTTGCTCTCATAAGGAACTGTGTGCTCCACATGGTTGAGTCCAGTCTCCACCCATTTCTGATTTGAGTACCAACTCCACCCAAGAGTTTAAAAATTCATTATAGCAAACCTCTGCATACACATCCTACCTAAAACAGCTTCTAGTACTCTGCACGTTTAGCCAACATATGATTGATGTGTTGCCAGGAATTCAAAGGGATGGTGAGGGAAGATAAAATTGGTTTGAAAGAGGTTGAATGAGGCAGGATGGAGAACATGAAAAAATAAATGGCAATTCTTTAAACAGTTTAAGTATGCAGCTTGGAATATGTTCTGTTTCCTCCCAAACAGTAGCATCTTTCAGTTCTTCCTAGGCTCAGATGAAACAATTGTCTTAAGTCCCACGTATTGGTCTAAAGAGGTCGGTGCGGCACTTGTTCCACCCATACTACCTTCTTCTGCTCATCAGCGACAGCCACACGGACACAGCTGTTGAGACCGTCGAGGTCACCCCAGGCCTCAGGAGCAATGATACGATAAAGGCAGGACACTGTCTCCAGCTGGGTCTCGTCTTTCCGGCCACTCTCCAAAAGTTGCTCCTCGGTCGCTCCAAGGCGCTGAAGAGCTTTCCTGAAATTCAAGCCATTTAGGTAAGGAAGTCAGAATTTGGAGCTTACTCACAAAGCATGTTTGTGCGCGTGCGAAGGAAAGGTTGAAGAACGGTGGCCACAGGAGAAAGAATTGCCAATATGGTGGATAAACACACACTATGTGCCAAATGAAGTGATTTTAGGTGCATCTTTGGTGATTAAAAATAATTGGATAGAAATTCTGCCAGAGAGACATGCAAGTCATCAAAGTAGCAGTACTTACTTGATTTTCTTGGCATTCTTCTCACCGATGGTGATGAGAATAATGATGGGATAAATGTCCATTGTCAGAAGTTCTTGCACACTCTCCAGGCCCAGATCCAGCCAGGCATGTACATTCTAGAGATAGAATGAGATGTATAACTGCAAAGATACCACCAAACAATATTTGTAGTCCTAAGGAAATACGCATCTTAATCCCTCACCCGATATAACTGCATCTGTGCCCAAATACAACATCTGTTGTTGCAGCCTCTAATACCTTTTGCATTAACTGCTCCAGATCCCATCGAGGAACACAAGAGCTGCCATTCAACTCTTTGTTTTCATGGAAGGTTTCTGTGTTCTGAGTGTCTGCAAGAGCAGGAAGGACAAAAATGAGAGGGCATAGTTCTGAACAATTGTAGAATCCAAACTAAATCTCTTTTTCTTATGTTTCGTTAAAAGTAATGTTTGGATACATGAGAGAATGAGAAAATCTAGTATCAAGAAATATTCTATGTTCTAGAACAAGATAATTATTTGAACAGGAACTGGTAACTCAAAGGTGCTTTTTCCAAGTATGTGGGTATATGCATAATTTTTTCTCATGTTTATGTAGTGTATATTGGAAGTGGTTACCCTTTGAGAGCTGAAAGCAACAAAATTTCATTTTAATGTATGCTGATTAGTGTACATTTAAAGTGACAATAAAATTATTCTGTTCTGTTCCGTTCCGTTCCATTCTACTCTACTCTACTGCTTTTTGAAAAAGCACCTTTGAGACAAACATGACCTGAATGATGGAGAATCTCCATAGACAAGAACTGCAAAGTTTATTGTGAGCCAATGCACTCTATTCTAGTTCCATCAGCTAGACATTTCCACTAACTTTGTCTCAAGTTCAGATGCTGAGTTTTCCAGAACTTAAACAATATTTTTCTGCAAAATTCCACCAAACCTACCTGACCCTTGTATACCTGATGGACATTTTTCGAATTCCCTGGAAAGGCATAGCTTGTCAGCCAGAATCTTCCTCAAAAGTGCTGGCACCACAAGTACTGGACGTGGCTGCCCAGGTCTGTAATGCCTGACAAAAGTGTATGGCATCAGACTGACACAATTCCTGGGATTCACTAGAAGGGAAAGAATAAAGCAATCAGAGAAATAAATGCTTGTGGATTTCATCCACTGCTTGTTTTTTTTTTATTTCTACTTATATTTTAAGAAAGCATATTTGAAGGCATTTATTAAATTGCCGCAATTAAAGATTCTTTAGTGATATTGTCAGGAATAGAAAAAACTAGAAACACAATAGCTGCAGTGGGTCTGTAATAAGTAACCTGGTTACCACAGCAAAATGGTTTTTTTTAGAAAATGGTCAAGCTATCTAGAAAGTATCAGAGACTTTTTTAAATTAGCCAATTAATTAGTTATCCCCAATAGATGCTTTAGAGTGCAATCCTTGGCATGTATTCTTTAAAAAAAGAAAGAAAAGCTCACTGTGTTGAATTTACCTAGATAAATATTTAAAGAGGTTGTAACCTGTGATAATTTTCAACAACTATAAACAATTTTGCAGTAGTTGAACTTGCCTTTTGGCTTGTTTGACTCTGAAAAACTACATTCCATAGCTGACCAAAGTGGATTGATCCTGTTGCCTGTGCTCACAATACGGACCAATTTGCGTTGCGAACTGGAATTCTAAGGGCAAAAGAGAAGGTGTTTTATTAAACTTAGAATGTATAGAGCCAGCCCAGGAGTTATGGCAGTAGTTAGCTGAGCAATTATAGGAGCAATGCTCCTATAGAACAATGTCCACAAAGGGCTTTCATGCTAAGCCTTTGTCTCAAGTAATTCTCATCCAGATGCCTCCCACATATTAGTAGAAGAACAAGTCCTATGATAGTGCAGTGTATCTCGTGCTCCAGATTGTATTGTTAGAGTTCTCTGGGCTGCAGTTTGGGATTACTACTAAAATATCGTCAGTGCAGGACATACAGGGGATGTGAGGTTGTGCAGTATACAATAACAATAGCACTTAGGCTTATATACCGCTTCATAGTGCTTTACAGCTCTCTCTAAGTAGTTTACAGAGTCAGCATATTGACCCAACAATCTGGGTCCACATTTTACCAACCTCGGAAGGATGGAAGGCTGAGTCAACCTTGAGCCGGTGAGAATCAAACCACTGGCAGTCAGCAGAATTAGCCTGCAATACTGTATTCTAACCACTGCACCACCATAAGTCTACATCTGTTAATTGCCCCTTGGTTAGAGTGCCATGATTCAAAGAATTCTTTTTGAATTTTTTGTTAATTCTAAAATTGCTATTCCCATCCATTTCCTAGGTTGTCTGTGTGGAGGGAGATCAGTGAAGTATGGAGTTCCTCTTCCTTACCTCCATCTTCATCCAGCTTGGTGGAAATGCATTTTTGTAATTTAGTTAGCAGTCTAAATCAACTTGCAGATTTAACTGCCTAAAGCAAAGTGAAACGTTGCCTCATTACCTTCCGGGAAATCATGTTTTGGGCCAATTCTTGAATGAGGGCAATGAGTTGCTGTTGTGCCCTGTATCAAAGAAACAGGGACAGAAATGTATAAGGCAGAAGAAAGCAGATATGCTTCTACATTAGATAGACAAGAATGTACTCCCTTTGGACCTATTGAGATGACCATACTCACTGGAAGTAGTTGGGGATGGTACCGGCATCCATGTCTTTCATGGTATAAGGATTCACCTGGCAAGCACTCCACTGAGATTGGCCTTCATACACAGTGTCAGTGACATGCAGAATATTATGGCAATCTACTGAGAGTTCCCCAGGACCCTGTTTCTCAAGGCATAGGTTGGATCGGATATAGAAGGAGTCACCAGATGTCACCAGCTTTGAGTTCAGGTCAGTCAGTAATTTCTTGTAACCTAGTAAGATGAAGTTTGTTGGAAACTGTGAATCTAAGTAGCAATAGCACACGTCAGGTGGGACTGAGGGTAAATAAGTGAGAGCAGAGTTACTTCCCAAACAGGTCCTTTGCCTTCCATATTCGTGTCCAGTGAGATACTAAAATCAGCTGAATACATTCTGAGGCCCAATCAAGAGTATACTGTATATCCAATTTCCAATTCATCTTTAGGATTCAGGAAAGAGAAACTAGAAATCCCAGGAGTGTTCAGGAATTTCCAAAATCACATTATTCTGTCTTTTTCATAATATGTGACCAGAAGGCACTGTGTACTCTCAAAGCCATCCAATTAGTGCCAAAGGTGAGGACCTCTTAGATTGGCTCTAATTACTCCCTTCATACACTGGATCGGTCAACGTCATCTATTGCACCAGCTCGGGTGCTGGAAGCCCCAAGCACTAAGTTCCTCAGAATTTTGCTTATTAGGACCTATCAGAAAACCACCCCACCATCCAAAAGCTACGAATAGAATAGAACAGGGGTGTTAAACTGCCGGCCCGCAGGCCAGACGCATCACGCGGAAGCCGCGCCCACCCTATCGCCGGCAATGGCAAAACTGCCCCAATAGGTTGCGCGACGTCACATGACATCGCGAGTTTGACATGTCTGGAATAGAAGAAGGCACCTCCTGGCTAGCATTCTCAGTGCTTACCCTGGCTAAAACTTATTCCCATTTTCTTGATTTCTCAACTGATTTTATTTAGGATTTGGAAAAAACATAAATGCTGGGAAGGAATTCCTGCATGGAAACACTGAATAGATTCTCCTTTATACTAATTATAATGGAACATGATCCACTCTCTCATTCTCAAATATTATTAAATCTTTTACATTAATTTGAGTGGTATAATACAGGAAAGCTTCTTCTTGTTTTCCACTATGCCACCCTTAAGGGTACTCACAAATCTACTATTTGCCTTACTTCATTGCAGAATCCCACTAAGAGGGAGAAATACCCGATCACCAGCATGCTTGAATAATACTTTTTTTTATGACTTTTGTACTTTGAAGCTATCATGTAGGCCAGGGATAGATGGTGGAAGTTATCAACAAAGCCCAATTTCTATTAACTGTATGGCTTATCACAGTGGTGGCGAACCTATGGCACAGGTGCCAGAGGTGGCACTCAGAGCCCTCTCTGTGGGCACATGCGCCGTCACCCCGGTCCAAGGCCTTCAGCTGGGTTTTATAAAACCTTTTCGCTTTAGGCCTCCGCTGCCATGTGCAAAAAAAAAAAAAAAGGTTCAGTCGCTCAATTTCAACTTCTCGCAGGAAAAAAAAAGATCTTACAAAGTTGAAATTGATTGATTGAACTTTTTAGTCCCACCCAGTCTGCCGTTACCACCGCAGCCACGGCCACCCAATGGGCCACACTTACCCAATGGGCCACACCCACCCGGCACCCGACGATGCATAAGTGGGTTTTGGGTTGCAGTTTGGGCACTCAGTCTCTAAAAGGTTCGCCATCACTGGCTTATCATGAGGTCTAATAGAAGTCATAGCTCAGCCACCTTTAGAGAGACAGACAATAGCCCTTCTCCAAGGCAAGCAAATATCCTTACCTTCCATGTTGTGCTTCACAGACAAGCAGCAAAATCCATTCACTTTTTCCAGGACCCAAAGAGCCTCCTCAAGAGTTGAATCTTCTAAGACAGCTTTGAAACCTGGTTCCATGACTCCATAATCCACCTATACATTCAAAGAACTTGAAATGTTGATCAAAGAGACTCTGTTTGAGGAAGTCAAACACCTGCAACCTGGCTCAGCTCAGAGACAAGAAAGACCTTTCCCACGTTAATCATACTTTTACGGAAATGGTAACAGCTTGACAATACAGAAGGTTTTACAATGGAACTGACAGCTGAACTACATAGCTTAGAGTAGAGTTTCATTCATTTTATGTCCCATAAAATGAGACACGAGACATAAAATTATGGGACATGATTCGCTGTTCAGTAAAATCTCATTGTGACAATTTCTCAGCTACTACCTTGAAATTAGGCCAGTTTGGATGTATGAATAAATCTAAATCCTTCATAATGTGTAAGTAATTATATTATTTATTATTTTATCCCAAATTATATATGTAATGCAAGATGGCAAACATAGCTAATCCTTCTGCCTCCTATTTTCCCCAAAACAACAACCCTGCGAGGTGAGTTGGGGCTAAGAGAGAGTAAATGGCCCAAAGTCACTCAGCTGGCTTTCCTGCCTAAGAGAGGCCTAGAATTCAGTTTCCTGGTTTCTAGGGCAGCATCTTCACCACTGTACCAAACTGGCTCTCTTCTTCCTAGCACATGTGGTTCTCAACCTTTTTAATGTCGCGACCCCAACCGGTCGTAAGTCGAGGACTAAAGCGGTCATAAGTCGAGGACTAAACCGGTCGTGAGTCGAGGACTACCCAACCGGTCGTAAGTCGAGGACTTTCCTTGCCCGGGAGCGCCGCGCATGCGTGGTTCCGCCCCCTGCGCCGGCCAAGGCGTAGCTGGCAAGCGGCAGAGACGGAGCAGGCCGACCACCAGCTGGCCCAGCTCAAGGGAGGTAAGGCACCCGCCGGAAAAGGGGGAAAAAAATGGCGGACAGCCTTGCTTGGCGACCCCCGTGAAATGGTCGATCGACCCCAAATGGGGTCGCGACCCATAGGTTGAGAACCGCTGTGTTAGTGCATCCTGCCCAATCATTCCCATTTGATTCTCATATAAGCAAAAATAGCAAAGCAAAACAATGGATTTTTGCCTATGGTTTGCTTAGTATGATATCTGAACTGGGATTCATGGCCTTTGTGCTCCTTGACTTAATAGAAAAGCAACAGTCAACCATTACCTTTCAAATATAAAACTAAACAAACTGTGGGAGGTGGTTCCCTGGTTTCTTTAACCACTCACATTACAGAAAAAACTATGCAAAAGGAGTTAAGCAGTAAGCTTCTTTTTAATAATAAGCTAAAGCTCTGGCTTTACTTTCCAATAAATTAATTTGTTCCAAGCTAATTATAAAAAAATTTACCCTGAAGTATTCCAGTGTTGTGTCACCCTGAAAATTTCACCATCGCTGCTCTGACTGGCTGAGTAGATTCTGAGCTTTTCAGAAGCTGTGATTCTAGTTCAATGAATGATGGCAAAACAATCTTACATTGTCTCAGAAATGGCCAGATTGGCAGGGCTGAATTCAGGGAACTAAAGTCTATGCAGCTGAAAGATATCCAGACTGGAAAAGATCCACAAGACTTTCCAGTACAGGGATGACATTTTCCCAGCCCTAAAACTGCTAATGAATCCCCTGAGGACTACTATGGAATTTTTATAGCAACCACGATCCATTCTATGGCCTAATGCTGCAGGCTTGCTGGAAGTACCTTCAGCACCACTTAGAATGCTTTACTTTTTGTATTTTGTTTTCTTTCTCAGGCACTGATTGCATGTCAGCTGATATAAAATCTTGAGCTTTTCCTTTAGACAGGGATAGGGAGAGAGATGGTGTTAGAATGACAAACGTATCCAGAGAGAAATATGTCATCTTTATACAAATACCTACACTGTGGAGTTTTTTTTTCCAGATGAGCAGCTTTTCTGTTTCCCTATTCTTCTCAATCTAGTTAAAACACGCTTGAGATTGTGACTGGCTGTTAAGGATGATTTGCACGTCTTTTCAGCCAACCAAACACTGTGAGCATTGTCCCTTTCTGACTCAGAACAGAGCACAGAGAACTGCCACAATCAGTGTTTGTTAGCTGCCCTTTCAAGCTGGCCCATAACTGGATGCCTTGTCCTGTCTCCTTTGATTCCATTAAGTCGACAGCTTAAACAAATCCTTCCCCTTTTTTCACAACCAGAAAATAAAACAATAACCACTCAACCTCTTCTTGATGTATAGTGCAATTTTTTATGATCATTTATCCATTGTTTGTGGGAAATCCTAGAGGTAATCTAGTAACCAAATCACTGAAAACCTTCAAAAGCTTATTATCGTTGTCTATAGTGGCAAACTTACATCATTGTCAACCCCTGTAATCTATAATGTTGCCCTGCTAGCAGTTCTGCATTTGAACCACTTTTCTTAACTTTGATAGAATCTATAAGAGAAGCCAACAAGTTGAGATGTAAAACAGGAAAACGGGAAAACAGACTATTCCTTAAAGCACAAGGTAGCAATATATTGCAATTTAAACTGCGGAAACAGCACTAATGGCAAGATACACCCCAACTGCAAAGCCCTAGCTCAGGTGTGATCAGCAGCTGGTTATGTTCTTCTAGTGCCAGCACTGCATCATCTGGTAGAGCCCACTGTCCCTTAGAGATCTTGCAGAAATGTAGAACATAGCATACAACAAAGTTGTAGGAATGTCTTACCAACACAATTTGCTGGCCTGGTGACAAAGACATCTCATCAGCAATAGATCCAGGAGTGACTCGATGAATGAAGATGCCAGTCTGGTTGCCTCCAGTGATGCTGATCTGCTCCAACAAGGCATCAGCTTGGAAGGCAATAGTTGTGATACGGCTTGGAAAGCGCTGGGCAAGTCGGCGGCGCATGGGTACACTAAGAGGAGAACAAAGCAGACAGGATAAAGTCCATATAGGTTCTGGCTCTTCCCACTGATGCATCTCTCCAACTTTAGACTGGCTTCTATGCCGGTTTTAACTGAGCAGAAACACTTATCTGTGGCTATTCAATGTGAAGATTAAATCAAATTTAGATCAAGGAAAGCTATTATGGACTTGAAATGTCCATCATCAGATATTATATATCAGTGGCAGGGAATATTTTGGGATTGATTTATATATTTGAATTTTTTATAGTATGTTATGGATATTTGCATGAAATGGCTATAATAGGGAGGGTTGCCTATAATAAAATAGTATGTATGGCCAATTACAAATATCTGTTTACCTATGACAGAGTGGTAGTCAATTGCTCCCTACTTTGTAGGCTCTCTCGCTCCAGTTTACTCTTGCTATTTTATTCTCATCTTTTTTGCTGGGCTTGTTTGCAGGCATTTGTCATTTTTTTTATTTCTTAGAATGCTGAAAGGGCCAGAGGCCATATTTAAATTAAAAGTGGCGCTTTGCTTTACTCTGCAGGCTGTCAGCTTCCTATTAAAAATATTTAAGTAGCTTTTAAAAATATGGGGCAGAGGAAGAAAACTAAGCAGGTGCTTTGACCATTGTAAATATAAAACTTTAACATTTTCCTGCCATCTAGTGGCTACCAGATTTTGCTGCCCACTCTAGTTTTAAATAATGGTACAGTACCTTGGCAGTTGTTCTGCATAAATCAAGCAAATGACACATCTCTAATCTCTACTGGACATGAATAGGCAACACTCAAGAGAGCAGGGCAATAATGGCCTGTAGGCACGCTTTTATTTAAACCAGGCGTATTCATTTGCAGAAAGTAGCCACAATGGGAAAGGGTTTGTCAGAGACCTGGAGTAAAAGACTGTTTCTTTGCCACACATTAATAGACATAAAAGGACACCAATAATGCTCTGAAGCAATGCCTCAAAAGAACAGAGGAAATAATCAGAACACAAGGTCATTTCCAAGACCTCACACTTTACCCCTTAAAGAAACCTTCTGTGAACATATACAGATACAATCGAGCCCAACATTTCTATTGCTAAGCAAAACAGTTGTTAAGTGAATTTGGCCCATTTCATGATCTTTCTTGCCACAGTGGTTAAGTGAATCACTGTAATTGTTAACTTAGTAACATGACCGTTAAGTGAATCTAACTTCCCCATTGACTTTGCTTGTTGGAAAAAGATAATCACAAGACCCTGGGACACTGTAACTGTCATCAATACATGCCAGTCGCCAAGTGTCTAAATTTTTATTATGTGACCATGCTGTAACCACTGTGTAAAAAATGGTCATAAGTCACTTTTTTTCAATGCCGTTGAAATGGTCACTAAATGAATGGCTGTAAGTTGAGGATTACCTGTACTTATATATACAGATCCATGACTCTGAGTTACTCTTAAATAGAAGTAATTATGTCTATAGAATCACACATTTTCTTTGTTGCCTGAATAAAAAATTATTTATACCTTTAATATTTGCCTTCTGTAGATTCCTTGGCTAACAATCAGTTTGTCGTTGAGTTACTCCTCACACTTATGGATATTGTAGTTGTCAAAACAGTGACAGATACAGATTGCCTCCCTTCATTAAAAAAAAAAAAGCAAGCTTCTGGCTTTCTATATGAAAAAAAGTGGGAGGAAACAGACACAGGTTTTGCCTCCCTGAATTGCCTATATATTGCCTGTTAATGCAGCCTTTCATTGTGTTGGCTTTTTTGGCAGCTCAGCACACTGCTGGCTCATATTTAAGTGATTATCCACTAGGACTCCAAGATCCGTCTCACAGTTACTACGATTGAGCGCGGTACCAGCTATACTGTACCAGTGCATTTGGTTTTTCTTGCCTAAATGTATGTAGAACCTTACTTTTTTCACCATTAAATTTCATTTTGTTAGCACCCAATGTTCAAGTCTGTCAAGATCCTTCTGTATCTTAAGCCTATCTTCTGGAGTGTTGGCTATTCCTGCTAGCTTGGTGTCATCTGCAAATTTGATGAGTTCCCCATCTATCCCCTCATCCAAATCATTGCTGAAGATGAAGAGCACTGGGCCTAAAACAGAGCCTTAAGGTACCCCACTGCATACTTCCCTCCATGTAAATCAGTTCCATTGAGGACCATACGCTGAGTATGGCCGGTCAGCCAGTTACAAATCCATCTGGTGGTGATGCTGTCTAACCCATATTTTTCTATCTTATCAAGTAGTAGGTTGTGGTCTACTTTTATCACATGCCTTGCTGAAGTCCAAGTAAATTATATCCACAGCATTCCTCTGGTCCACTAATTTTGTCACCTGGTCAAAGAATGCAATAAGATTTGTCTGGCATGATCTGTTTTTGACAAACCCATTGTCAACGCTGCAAATACTGTATATTCTTGCTTTGACAATATGCAGAACTGTCTGGTATTTTTATAGTTGGCTTTTGGTAATGACTTTGTTTGCCTCTAGGTGTTCGCTGATTCGTTGCTTGATTATCTTTTCCAGAATCTTCCCAAGTGTTGAGGTGAGGCTGTTAGGTCTGTAGTTTCCTGGAGCTATTTCCCCCCCCCCTTTTTTTTTTTTGAAGATGGGAACTGCATCAGCTCTTTTCCAGTCCTCTGATAGTTTGCCAGTGTTCCAGGATCTTTGAAAGATATAGTTCAGTGGTTCTGAGATCACATCTGCCAGTTCCTTCAGAACTTTGGGGTGTAGTCCATCTGGTCCTGGTGATTTGAACTCGTCTAGGGTGGACAGGAGCTCACTTACCATTTTCTTGCCTATTTTAACTTGCGTTTCTAATCTGTTTTTTGATAGGTTGGAGTGTTTCTTCCCTTTGTGTAAGACGGATGCAAAAAATGAGTTAAGTAGTTCTGCTTTCTCCCTGTGGCTTGTCACCTTCTTGCCACTTTCTCCCACTAATGGACCAATCGTTTCCTTGACTTTTTTCTTGTTTTTTACATGTTGAAAGAAGCTTTTTTTGTTATTTTTGACCGTAGTACATTATAAAATAAAACCATGTCACTGGAGTCTGTGTGTTTACCTCTCAGAGATGCAAGGGTCTACGTGGAGCCAGAGGGAAGTGCTATCTGTAAGAAAGATACATTCGAACACATGAGAGCAAAGCAATCAGTGGTTGGTTTTTAGCCCAGGACTAGTAAATAATATTCAACACATGCTCATTGTATTTTTCCCTGCCTTGCTAGATATGAGTTCCCAATTTTTTTCTCCTTAAGGAAGAAAAACAATGGGAAGAAAATTGAACATGGTTTTCAAGAGCAAAAGTGGAAATCGGTTTTCCATATTGTAGTGGATTATAGTAGGAGAAAAAGTATAGGCTTTCCAGGTCTTCCCTAATTTTGGCCAAGCTGGCTAAGTATCCAGAGGTCCAAAAGCTCTGGAAAGCACCAGGCTGATTTGTATCTTCCCTCCCCCCCCTCTTTAACACAAATTTAAATCTGAACGACATCTTTAAAACTAATTTGCTGTTACTTATGTTATGAATTTGCTTTCACATATGTGGACTTTAGCAAATAGATCCTTCCAAGTGGCACTGCTAGAATTTCTTTTGGACCAAAAAAAAGCAGGTTCACAAATATATTAAGGAGGGCATTTCTTCCTTCCTCTTCCACAGGCCAGAAAAAACAAGAAAAATGTTTTCCCTGTGGGAAACTCTTACCATCTCTCCCCATGTCGTATTCAAAAGAGGAATCCCTCCCTTTCTCTTCAGCTGAGGTGAGAGAAAACTCCTCATCCAGGAACTCCTGAGAACTGCTTCAGGAAGAGACATAAAAGAGAGGGAAATAACAACATGTGAATGGAAAAAACAAAAGCTGTCAGAGTTTTCCCATTCTTTTTGGAGGCTGTGAGGATAGTCAAGAGCATTTTCTGAAGTGACTTCCAGACTGAAGGCCTGGTGTGACTTGGAACTGCCTTGGATGGGCATTTTATTCTGAGGGGAACCTGGGCCACAACCTTTATTTGACAATCTATTGTACAGGGAGCCCTCAACTTACAACCATTAGTTTAGTTCTGTTTAAAGTTACAATGGCACATGGTCAAACTTTGGACGCTTGGCAACTGGCATGTATTTGTGACAGTTGCAGTGTCCCGGGGTCACATGATCCCTTTTGTGACCTTCTGGCCAGCAAAGTCAATGGGGAAGCCAGATTCACTTAACAACCATGTTAACTAACTTAAAAGTGCAGTGATTCATTTAACAACTGTGGCAAGAAAGATCATAAAGTGGGGCAAAATTCACTTAACAACTATCTTGCTTAGCAACAGAAATGTGGGAGTCATTTATGGTCATAAGTTAAGGACCATAGTATTGAATACTTCAGAAGTGTGGGCCAGGGCACTTGCTCTCTTTTCCCCTTTTCCAAGCTCTTAGCAAACCATTGTCTTTTTAAATGTTTAATTGAAAGTGAGGTCCATCATAGCTAAATGACTGACACTCTCTAAATCAGGTAGAATGATGGGAGAAACATTCAAGGTAGGAGTCCTTTCAGATGTGTCTCTCCTTCCAGCCATACCTTATCTCAATTACTTATAGGAAAATGATGAATCTTCTTTTTCATTATTATTTTATATGTGTCTGAATTTTACTTGTATTTCATTTTTATAATTATTGGACATTTCTCTATGTGATACATAATACCATACATGATTGGACTGTTATTTTTTTAAAAAAAATAAAGAATATGTCAAGAATTGTTTCTCTTTTGTGTGTGGGGGGGGGGAGGGAGGACACTCCAACAAAGTCAAATCAGACATTTTCAGAATTTTTGGCATGCCAGGACCAAGAAGTTTTCCTCAGTGATCTAGTTCAAAGGATAAAGGGATATGTCTTTTGGCCTTTTGAGACACATTTTAAAGTTCAAAAGATCACCATAGCTGTTTCAGTCATGAGCCAGGGATATTCTTAGTCACATCTCCATATTATTTATTTGATTGAATATATAATTCGACATATATTATTTTATGTTACATATTATTTTATATTATACTGTATAAATGAAAGCTTTAGAAATGCAACAGACTGACAAAGAATTGTTACCACTTAGATTGTTTGTAAGAAATAACAATTCAATTTGCACAATTACTTTCAACATTCTCTTATTTCCTCTGTGCCCAGAATGGCCATCCTAAATTTTAAGTGTTGCATGCAGCTTCCAAACAGTATTGGTGAGCCTCCACCTCTCACAAACCTCTTTTGATTACATTGCAGTGAAATGGACTGTCAAGAAACATAGCATCATTGTATGCAGCTTTAGGATATTTTTAACCTGTTAAATCCTTCCAAGATGAGGGAAAACAGCAATAACAATAGCACTTAGATTTATATACAGTGCTTTATCGCACTCTCGGAGAGGTTTACAATGTTAGTATATTGTCCCCAACAATCTGGGTCTTCATTTTACTGACTTCAGAAGGATGGAAGGCTAAGTCAGCCTTGAGCCAGTCAGGATTGAACTTCTAGCTGTGGGCAGAACTAGCCTGCAATGTTGCATTCTAACCACTGCGCCACCACAGCTCCTCCAGAAACAAAACTGGAAGCCCTGTCACAGGATATTCATCATCCACTATTACAAAGTTACCCACCTTGTTGTTAACCTGTCATAAATAACAGTTAACAGAATAACAGTGTTGGAAGGAACCTTGGAGGTCTTCTATTAGAATAGGTCCATTTAATTCTAGTGGAACTAAATACCTGAATGATTGGAGATTAGATTTCATTTCACAGAATCCAATGGAACATGAAGACTTAAAAGAGTCAGATTTTACCTCTCAACATTGTGAGAGATAAACAAGTGAAACATTTGAGCCCAGCACAGAAAAAAAAAACCTAGAATGTTCTTTGTCGTATCTGCAAACTCAGCCTAGCACAAAATATGATATACCTCCACAAAAACCTGAAATAGTTACCTCCAAGAAAGTGAGTTGTCTTGCATGGCTCTTCTCTGTAGAGAAAGTTTACAAGGCGGGATTGGGCTGCATGATCGGAAACTGTCCCTTTGTTCATGACTTGACCAAGACTACAAAATAAAAGGATAGTCAGGTCATAAGTACCGTCCATTGTGATTGAACTCAAATTTCCCCATTCAGAGCTATTCCAAAGTTTTCCCTGTATAGCTTTGCACAGCAAACCTTTGGTCAACTTCACGAGCAGGAGTCACCATCCCTCCTTACCCATGAAATTAAAGAAGATACAAAAGTGTGAGGTGGCGGGTGGAGGATTGAAATGCACACCTCTGATGTGCTCATCAAGCTGTCCTGACTGTCTTCCCGAGGATAGATGGCATGCATTCGTACTAGGGGCTGCTTTCTCTTTGGACAATGGTCCTTGGGTTCAATGATGGGAGGCCCACTCCTTGGTACCTAAGGAAATAGAAAAGGTCCCTTCAGAAGGATATCTTGATTTACGAGACAGAGAAGAGTCTGTGAGGCTTACATGGCAAACCACCATCTTTCATATGTCGTGATTGCCAACAGATGACCCATAGATAACTGGCTTTCACTTCTCACAATAATTTCGATCAACCGAGGATTTCACGCAATGCTGCTTTTTTTTTTTTATAAAATAAAGTGCTGTAGATTAAGTCACCAGCCTTAGCTATACCCTTGACACATGAAGTATTTCCTGCTAATAATAGGGATAGTATCAGTTGTAACACATATTGGGCAGTATACCACAAGTGCATGCAAAGCCCAGTTTCATCCCAAGCATGCTCATGCTATTCCGTCCTAGTTAGAATATATAATCTAGTCCAAATGTTGCAAGTCAGTGTACCTTGCAAACCACCTAGGAGATTCACACAGTGCATTAATATCCTGTCCGATGAAAGTGTAATTCAGTGAATCATGAAAGAGAACAGTGTGAAGGTCTGTAAAATGACCTTGGGAGACAGGAGGAAGAGTCAGCAGGTAAGACAACCATCATGCAAAAGATATATTTCAGCCCACAGAAGCAGAAGGGACCCTCCCTAGTTTTCTGCAAAGTAAAAGAGGGGAGAAATACTTTCAGATTTGCAAGATTCTGTTACGGTAATCTCACAATAAAGATTATGCTAGTACTTATTATTTATGGTCCTTATCTTGAAGGAAACAGCAATTTAAAAAGAAATTAAATAGGAAAATTGAGAACACAAAATAAAATTCCATTTATTCTATAATAACTGCCTTTTGAATTTTGTGAAGCAGGCGTTCAAATATTAGGATAGCGCTAGAGGCATTTGGGAAAGTACAGATTTCTCCCTTTCTCTCCTAAGCCCAACCATGATCATAACTTACAGTAAACACTAAATCTCCCATGCTGGCTTTTTTCCTGAGTTCACAAATTTCATTTGTGAGCTCAAACACTTTACGACGAAGTGAATCTTTCTCCAGGAGGCTTTGGGAAATTTCCAACTGGGCAGTGTCCCTGGCATTGTAGGCCTACAGGATTTAGATAGAGATACACTACATAAGAAGGTTTTAGGAGAAACAAAGACAGAAATAAGCTATAGGTAACAAGAAGCACATTTCATGTAGTAATTAAAACTTAGGGACAGCAAGAATTAATACAAAGAAGGGGGCATACTATAGTATTATAGTAACCCTAATAATACTATAGTAACTTTAATATTTGATTGTAGCATTTGTAGAATTGTAGCATCTGACATATTGAACAACTGGAAAGCTGCATGAAGCCTAGATTGCAAAGTACAAAATTAAATAAAAATCTCTTTAGGGGACCAAAGGTACTGAGTTCTACCAGTGAACTTTATACGACATAAACTATTTAAGTTGGCAATCACCATAAAGTTCAATCATGTTAAGATCTCTGCTAACAAGACAGTTTCTCATCTTTTGACAACCTTTTTGTCACTTTGATTGAAAAGCTGTCATTTCATAATCACATTTTCTAATACCTGATCTCTTTCTTTCTGTAGATCAGCTATTTGAGCCTGAAGGGCGCTGATTTGCTCCTTGTAGATCTCACAGTCTACCTTCATCTTTTGACATTCAATTAAAGTATTTTCTTTTTCTTCCCAACACTGCATAAAAACACAAATACAGCAACATGAAAGTATATAGTCTTGGCATCATATTTTTTTTTTGTATTTAGGACCCTTTGCTCTTATTACATGTAATATTGGCAAGTCTTACAAAAACAGAGTAGCCTAATATGGCCTAAATTCTCTTTAACCTCCTATTACAATCTGATGTCTGAGAACAAAGATGAAAACTTTGTATAATTTGTAAGCCACCCACAGTTATCTTGTACGGGAGATGGATGACATAGAAATTTAATAAATACATAAATAAAAACAATTTGCCTATAACCACCTTGCAAGCACACGGCAACAATGCTGTTGAAGACTTCGGGATTACTGACTCTTATATTAGGATTATAATGCTTTCTGTATGTAAAAAAACCAACATTACAAAATATCTACTCTTCTTTAGCCCTTTTAGATCATATCAAATAAAGTCATTGTTCTTAAACAGGGTTGTCCTTGAGCACTGAAAAAGGACTGATCTTACTGCAATTAATATACTTTTTATTTTCACATGTCTGCTGCCATATACATAAGAGAGGAGCTACTTCCAGATCCCCAGTTGTGTAGGGTAGGCACAAAGGAGAGTGGCAATTTCTGAAAGTATAGAAGATGCCTCTCCTAGGCACAGAAAGAGACTTTCTCCCTCCCTCTTGCATAGGAGCAGGTAACTCTTCAGGTAGCTTGGCATTCTCACCTGTTTTCGCTGATTCTCAGCAAGTGCTGCTTGCTCTCTCAGTGAGTGAAGTCGATTTAGCAATTCCTGTTTGCCTTCCAGAGCATCATCAAGGTTCTGCTCTAGAATATCTTTCTGTACCTGGGCAGGTAAGGCAGGCTTATTAGAGAAAGCTTTTTCATCCCAACCCCTGTCCCATGCCACACCTAGAGAGAGATTGGGGTGCCCATATGGAGGAGACCCTCAAGTTTGCCATCTAACTGAAGCCTGAAAAGAACATTATGCAACTGTAGGAGACATACACAAAGGCATGCTAAGTCTTGATTAAATGGGCTGAAAAATATCTTTTGCTCCACATTGTGCAAAAGTCTTTGGCTTACCTTGGCCAAGCAAGCTATGGACATGCTACCTCCTGCAAACTCCTGTGGTTTTCTTCACAAGTTACCTCCCCTAGCTTGCCCCAAAGAAGCCTGAAACTGTTATCTGGTGAAATTACTAATAAGTCTGTGTTATAGATCTCTTATCCTCTCTATTATTCCTAGGATTATTAGGAAAGGATAGGAACATAGCTGACAACTTCTTTTACCATACTGAAGGTTTCCAGCTCCAACAGTGACTTGAGATGCTCGTTCTCTTCTCTCAGTTTTAAGAGCTCATCTGTCTGCATCTGTGCATCCCCAGATATTCTTGAGGGTCTTTCCCTTTTGTGGCATGATGACACCTGGGCTCGCTGTAATTCTTGCTTCATCAAGTAGAACTACCATTGACAGGTACCCAGAAAGAAAGGAGAAGCTGTGAATAAGGCTAGCAGAGCTGAAAAATAAGTTACCAGCTTGGGCAGTTCCCTCCACAGCATCAGTCCTGAACTTCTTGCTTTAAGAATTTACTGCTGATTAGATTTTATCCAACCGTGTTACTTTATAAGTAACTCAAGGCAGAGAACATACCTAATGTTCTTTCCTCCTCCTATTTTTCCCCACAGCAACATTCCTATGAGGTGGATTGGGGTGTGAGAGAATGACTGGCCAAAGTCACCCAGTTGGCTTCCATGCCTAAGGCAGAACTACAACTCCCAGTCTCCTGATTTCTAGGCCAGTACTTTCACCACTACACCAAACTGGCTGAAATGTTCCTCTAAGCACAGCACATCCAACCGATGTGAATGGACCAAAATCAAGGTTTCTGAGAAATAAAATGGAAGTAAAGCCCAAAGTTTGCAGAACTACAAAACAAGCTTTTAGGGGGAAAAAATTAATTAGAGAATATTCTCAATCCCAATCAGTCCAAGAAAAATCAAGCACTGTTTGGTAGAAATTGGAGGGGGGGAAATGGGAAAAGAAAATGGAAAACAAAACTCGGGTTTCAGTGGGGAATGTTCAGAAGGTGCAGGAGAGCATGGCTGCCAGAAACTCTAACAGAAAGTGAGGATGGACCACGTCCTCAATTAATTGCAGCTGCGATTACTAAACACTAAATGGAAACTGTCTTCTTCTACAGCCCAAGTGTACCATATCCAGTAAACCCAGTTAATTGCAATAAAGATCCAATTGATCACATCACAGAAGGAAAAAGAAAAAAGACAAATGGTAAAGAAATCATAATAGCCAATTATTCTTCTATTTCCTTGGACATAAACCTGACTCAGCTTGGTCAATAATACAACCAAACTCAATTGTAATGTACAGACAACCCCCCTCCCCCACGGATTTTCAGGCATCAGATTGATTTTTTAATAATCTGTATTCTTTTTCAGCAGATGGGTTTGAGGGATTTCTACCTTAAATCTGCATAATGTTGGAACCTGCAAAATCATCCCAAATTGGTATATCTCTAAAAGTCCATCAATTCTATCATAGTCTATTAGACACGTCATTCAGATTAAGCTAGATTATCTCTGTTTGGTTTTCCATTTGTTTCTTAGGCTGCATCTTTCATCTTCGGCAGCAGCAGTATCCATGGAAACGGGATACTGAGATAGATGGTCCATGCGATCTAACATTTCTCATATTCTATTGCACTTTCAAACAAAAGAAGACAGCTACACATGACTGCAGGTCACAAGCAGAACCATTCTGGTGCTCTAGCAACCATTTTGCCTACAGTTATCCTTCTCTTGACCAGCAAAGTGCCCGGTAAGTTCAGCAGATCAGACCATCTGCAATCATCCTACCAATGGCACCCAGGACCTGCAAATATGATATCACAAACCCTGAAAAGCTCCATGCACCCTTCTTCTCTCACACCTCTTCTTGCAAGCTCCGGCAGCGGGTAATAGCCAGGTCCTTCTCTTGAAGGGCACTGCTGTAGCGCAAAGAGAGCCCATAAAGTTCATCTTTAAGCTTGAGGGCCTCGTGGAAGTGAGCACTGAGTTCCCTCTTCATCCGGTTACACTCGGTTTCAATGCCCCGCAGGCTTTCAGCCTCAGCTTCCAGTCGGGCAGTGTTTTCCTTGAGTCTGCGGCAGTGTTGGAGCAGGGACACCTTCTGGCGTTTCTCCTGGCTTAGCTCCTCTTGCAGGCTGCTAACTGCTTTGGCCAAGCATTCTGTCAGCTGGGAACTTTCAATTAGATCTAGGGAAAAGAAGAAAATGCTTAGGCATCTGTGGAGATTCTCAGTCATCCAGGCCATGCTTGTCCCAAAGGTGCTTTTTCAAAAAGCAGCTGGACTTTGTTTTTCCCTTGAAGACATTTCGCTTGTCATCCAAGAAGCGTCTTCAGTTCTAATGTCAGAACTGAGGTCAGAACTGATTACTGGGGGTTACCATTTCATCTGTTTTGCTTTACACAAACAACCCAGGTAAGAAGGGGTGATGTAGGAAGGATGGAAAAAGCTCACCACTAAAATTGTTGTGGTCTATGGAAGGCTCCAAGCCGGTAATGAGCACATAAATATCAGGATTGTGAAGTTTCAAGCTTTCCAGAAAAGCGAGAGCCCCGTTTTTCCCACGGGATTTCAAGAGATCCAGCATGTGGCCTGTAAGAGATCAGGAACATTCGTAATGTAAAATGATGGGAACTAAAAAGTCCAACAACTTAAAGTTACTCAGGCAGAGAAACGTGAAGTACATATGCCATATAATTTCCTCCATTTACTTATTTAATAGTATTTGAGCAAACTTACTTGCAAATCTCTTTTGGTTTCACTAAAAGCACTATCTTTTAAATGCAGTGTTGCCATATATGTCTTAACCTGCAAATAAAGAATAAGCTTGCCACTTAAACTGGAACACTTCTCCATTTACCTGTGATAGAGGTATAAGATTATAAATCTTATATGTAGTGTAATCTAGTTTATAGAATGGACTAGATTCCATAGGGCTCTACTACCTATCCAAGGAAGTAATCTCTCTCTCTCTCTCTCTCTCTCTCTCTCTCTCCTCCCTCCCTCCCTCCCTCCCTCCCTCCACACCTTGGGAAGATAGAATCAGTGCTATTTCAGACAAAATGGAGTGGCTCTTTCTGATACCAGATTTTGGGTACCAGAAAAACTTTAATTTATTGTATTTATACTGTAAGGAATAGGAAGGGCAAGGAATTATGTCCCATGTCCCGAAGTAATTTGGCTAGCTTTGCATACTATGCATCAGACATGGCTTCTTGGTGCCCTTGATAGAGTAGTGCTGGAGCCAACATATAATCCTACTGGACATCACTATAATTGTTTCTCCATTGTCTAAGGCAGGGGTCTTCAAACTTGGCCCTTTTATGACTTGTGGACTTCAACTCCCAGAATTCCTCAGCCAGGCATGCCCACAAAAGGGCCAAGTTTGAAGACCCCTGGTCTAAGGCTATCCTCTGCTCTGCACATGTTACAGTACCATACACCACACTGTCATAAACGTTCCAATACCGTACCCAGAGTGCTTACCGACTCTCATGGCTCTATTTGTGAACTGGGGGCTGTGCAATATTTCTTCCTCATCCAATTGACCCAGCACCTTGGCCTGCCGTAAGTAGGGGGTAAGACGACTGGGAGAGATACCACGCACAATTCTATAGCGATGGCCCTCCACCATCTCCCATAAGCGATCTTCATCCATATCACGAAGTTCTTGATCGACGAGGTTGGAATCATCTACTCCTGCCTCCCCCATAATGGAAACCTAAAAGGACAAGAGATGCTGATAGTATTTGGAAGCCAGTGATGAAAGAATAAGTATCCTTAATAAAATCCATCTTCTATTCTAAACTGACATGAAGCATGGCAGAAATTAAATCCTAGAGGAAGTGGCAAAGCACATTAGCTTTTAAAATGTTTTAAAATCTTGCTGTTTTACCCAAATTACATTATTTCAGCTCCTATTTATTTCTGGTCTGACTGTAGTTACTGATTTTTGCGACATTAGATTGCATTGTATTGCTTTGGTTTTAAATTGTATTATTTTATTTTTAAATAATCATACAATACCTATAGAAACATTGTAATAGGTAATTTAATTGATTGGTCACTTTAAGGCAAAAAATGAGCCATTCTATTTCAAATCTCATTACTCCAAATATCATAGTCTAATAAGGTCAGAGCTCTGTCTATTCTTTGCATGTGCATATGTGTATAAAATACAAACACAGCCCCATACATACATAAAATAACAAAGTGAACCTTGAAGCAAAATTCTTTTTTTTTTTTTTTGCTTTTTTTGTCTCTAGCATCAAGAGTTAACATAAATGGCTGGAATATGATCATTTAGTAGGGCAGATTAAAATATGAATACACATAATCATGGTCCCCAATAAATTTCCAATAGAGAAGACAGGGTCTCTATGGATATTATCTTACAGTGGTAGTCCTCGACTTACAAACACAATTGGGACCAGAATTTTTGTTGTTAAGCAAGGTGGCTGTTAAGCGAGTTACACCTGATTTTTATGACCTTTTTCTGCCATAGTTGTTAAGTGAAACACTGCGGTTGTCACGTGAATCATGCAGTTCTTAAGCAATTCTGGGCTTCCCCCGTTAACTTTGCTTGTCAGAAGCCTGCTGGAAAAGTTGCAAATGGTGATCACAGGACCTTGGGACACTGCAACCATCGCAAATACATGCCAGTCACCAAGCACCAGAATTTTGATCGTGTGACTGCAGGGATGCTGCGATGGCTGTAATTGCGAGAACCGGTTGTAAGACAATTTTTTCAGGGCCAATGTAACTTTGAATAGTCGCTAAATGAATGGTTAAGTTGAGGACTATCTATATCAATGATGGCAAACCTTTTAGACACCGAGTGCCCAAACAGCAATCCAAAACCCACTTATTTATCGCAAAATGCCAGGGCTGCATCAGCATTGTGGTGCCCTCGGGGGGGGCAGCAGTGGGGGCATGGCCCACTGGGTGGATGTGGCTGCGGTGGGCATGGCAGACTGGGTGGGCATGGCCGGGGTGAACATGGCCACCTCAATGTTGCTCATGAGGGGGGACGCCTGTGGGGGCTGGGAGATTCAGGGGGTCTCTGGTGGGTGGGGCAGTGGGCAGGAGGCTTTTCCTGCAGGGTGAGGCAGGTGATAGGGCAGGGGTGCCATTGCTGCAGGGCAAGGCAAGGCGAGGCAGGGGTGACTGCTACCTGACACCATTGCCCCCCGCACACAGAGGCCAGCGAGCGCATGGGGGCGTGCTCTACCACCTCTACTTGAGCTTGCTAGCCGGCCGCTTCGCCTCCTTTGTGCTGGGCAGGGCTGTTGCTCCGGGTGCCGGCGGCGGCCTAATGGACCTGTGCGAGATGCTGGCGGCGGCGACGGGCGTGCCCACAGAGAGGGCTCTGAGTGCTGCCTCTGGCATGTGTGCCATAGGTTTGCCGGCACTGATCTATATCTATTTAAGGGGATATTGTCTTATATCTATTTAAATGTGTTTGAAATAGTAGAAAATATTTGTAGCTCGGCTGGTAGATGTTGGCGGTGGTTTGTTCTCCCAGCTTGTTGTTTAGCTTCCGAGCGTTTCATCACCAGGCGACAAAATGCTTGAAAGCTAAACAGCAAGCTCGGAGAACAAACCACCATCAACATTTAAATGTGATTTCATCTATGTTTTAACCAGCATGATTTTGCTTCCTGTCTGCAAAGCAAGGGCAGCAGGTGGTCCTGATGGGCTGGTGAAACAGAAGAAAATACTATATAGCTGGGTTTGGATTCATTATCTGTCTGAATGTCCATTTTGTGCACAGAAGAAAACTGTACCATTCGGCAACAAGATTGAGGAGAATCTAAGGTGCCCGACAGGAGCACATCCTATCCAGGACTGTGTAAAAATTTAAATGATATATTCCACTGAATTATATCAAATAAAATAATGAATAAATAATATCATATCTCCAATCTCCCAACCTGCAAAAGACAGCAAGTTTTCTGCCACATTAAAATACACATTGATATATGCAGTATATATTACGCTTTATAGAAATAAGTCTCTGAATATGTGCCTACCTTAGTGAGTTGGACCAATGGCTCAACAGGCTCAAGGTTACCTAGTCTGATTAGAAAAAAAAATCCCATTTATGTAAAAGGAAGCCATTGTTAGTCCTGCTGCCTTAGCCAGTTTCATTAGAAATGTCCCTTCCCACTAGGCTAGTGGTGGCGAACCTATGGCACGCGTGCCAGAGGTGGCACTCAGAGCCCTCTCTGTGGGCACGTGTGCCGTTGCCCCAGCCCCACCTCCTCCCGTGGCCCCTTCCTCACCAGCAGCCCCCAGGAGGAGAGTCGCCCTCAGCACGGCCTGCGAGGAGCAGCGCAACCAAGGACATGGCAGCTGGGCAGCGGGGACAAGACTCCGCCCTTGTGCCCCGGCGCATAAAGTTGATGCTGTGGAGCGCAGGCGGAGGGCGTGGCTACCATGGTGCTGCTGGGCCGCCTGGGCAATCTGCAGTGGGCCGTAGAACCGGTGGGTGGCCCTGTGGGCGGGCAGGACGGAGGTGGGGCAGGGGCAGGGTGGGGGTGGAGAGTGCGGGGCAGGGCGAGGGCGGTTTTTGGGCACTTGGTCTCTAAAAGGTTCACCATCACTGCACTAGGCTGATGCCTTTAGCCAGCACGGGTTTGTTAAAAACAGATCATGCCAAACCAATCTCATCTCATTCTTCGATAAAGTAACTAAACTAGTAGACCAGCGAAATGCTGTAGACGTAGTATACTTAGATTTCAGTAAGGCATTTGACAAGGTAGACCACAACCTACTTCTTGGTAATCTAGGAAAAGGTGGAAGAGACAACATCACCACCAGACGGATTTCTAGCTGGCTGACAAACTGTACTCAAGGAGTAGTCTTCAACAACACTACATCCACATGGAGAGAAGTAAGCAGTGGGGTACCACAAGGTTCCGTCTTAGGTCCAGTACTCTTCAATATCTTCATAAATGACTTAGATGAGGGAATTGAAGGGGAACTCATTAAATTTGCAGATGACACCAAACTGACAGGAGTAGCCAATACCCCTGAAGACAAACTCAGGATCCAAAAAGATCTTGACAAACTTGAACAATGGGCTCTATCCAACAAAATGAGTTTCAGTGTGGAGAAAAGCAAAGTCTTACATTTAGGCAGGGAAAAACCAAAGGTACAAATACAGATTGGGCAAGACCTGGCTTAAAAACAGTAACTATGAGAGGGACCTTGGAGTTCTAGTGGATGATCACTTGACTATGAACCAGCAGTGTGCAGCAACACCAAAAAAGTTAATACAATCCTGGGTTGTATAAACAGATGCATAGAATCAAGATCACGTGAGGTATTATTACTGCTTTATAAAACCCTAGTAAGACCACACCTGGAATACTGCAGCCAATTTTGGTCACCTTATCTCAAAAAAGATATTGAGAGTTTGGAAAAAATTCAGAGAAGCACAACTAAGATGATCAAAGGCCTGGGGACTAAAACATACGAAGAACAGCTACGGGACTTGGGTTTGGCTAATCTAAAGAAAAGAAGAAATAGGGGAGACATGATAGCAGTGTTCCAGTATCTGAGGGGCTGCCACAAGGCAGAGGGGGCCAGGTTGTTCACCAAAGCACCAGAAAGAAGGACAAGAAACAATGGTTGGAAACTGATCAAAGAGAGAAACAACCTGCAATTAAGGAGAAACTTCCTGACAGTGAGGACAATCAACCAATGGAATAGCTTACCCCCAGAAATCGTGGGCACTCCATCACTGGAGATTTTTAAGAAGAGACTAGACAATCACCTGTCTGAGACAGTATAGGTTTGTCTGCTTGAACAGGGGGCTGGACTAGAACAAGGCTTTTCAACCAGTGGTACGGGTACCACCTGTGGTACATTGGCATCTGGCAGGTGGTACGCGAGCATCCTAGAAAAGTAGTAGCAGGGGAGGGGAATGAGCTGAACCGGTGGCAGCACCGCACAAGTCTGAGCGAGAGATGGCTGGAGCTGCAGGGCTGTCAGAGCTTAGTGGAAGCACCAGGATCAGTGCCAGGCTTCAGCTGGAGTTCGGTGCTGATCCTGGTGCTTCTGCTAAGCCCAGAAGCACCGATCAGCTGGAATGTTGCAGCATCCCCAGGGTCTTGTGATTTACATTCAGATGCTTGGCAACTGATTCATATTTATGACGGTCGTAGTGTCCCAGGGTCATATGAAGTGACCAAAACCTGCTGCAGCCACCCAGCAGACGGGGGGGAATAAAAACCAAACACCCCCCCACCCCACCCCCGCTGCCAATCCTCAACAGAAATGTTCACAACAATGGAAACCTTAGACAGGACGAAGAGTGCCGCCGGGTGGGCAGGCAGGTGTCTTGCTTGGCTGTGCCTTGGGGGGCACTTTTTTCAGTGCCGTTGTAACTTCGAACAATCACTAAGCAAACTGTTGTAAGTCGAGGACTACCTGTACTTTATCACTTTTTTCCTTTTTTTTTTGGGTCATCAAGTTTTTGACACCTTGCTAGGCGACTGGTGGGACTCGGATAATGCCATATCCTAAAAGTGGTACAATGGGTGAAAAGATTGAAAAGCCCTGGACTAGAAGACCTCCAAGGTCCCTTCCAATTCTATTCTATTCTGTTCTATTCTATTCTACTCTACTCTACTCTACTCTACTCTACTCTACTCTATTATTCTATTCTATTCTATTCTATTCTATTCTATTCTATTCTATTCTATT